GCACGCACGCACGCACGCACGCACACACACACACACACTCAGCAATCAGCAGAGCGTCCCGTTGTGCAATCATGCGTGTACGTGTCGCAAGATCACTGTGTGAGATGGATGTCCGGACGCGTAGCCTAGCGGCTCCTCGTCTGGAACCGGTCGCGTAGCCACGGCCTAAAATATAATGCTAAATAAATACGAAATCTATTTACTACCAAAGTCTTAATGTTTCTCTACTCTCTTTCACCTATTATTCCCGACAATTTCCTGTAAATGCCGTCCAAATGCTGATCTGCAACACACGCTGGCTGCTGCACACTGGCACTATATATTTATGTGTTACCCTAACCAATGACTTATTGATATTAGCAACAGAGATGCACGGTGTCAGTCTAGCAGAGTAAGTGTGCATTATTCCTCTGCCTCTGGAACGCGCAGCCAGGTATGCAGAATTAATCACGTGTTGGAGACTGACCCAGTTATGTGCTTAGTTATACTAATTTACTATTCATATTACGTACTAAATAATTATAGGTACCAAAATTTGCAGAATGTCGACAACAACAGCACCCTACAGTCTGGAGCCATTAAAATTGGGAGCTGTGGCCAGAGGCTTAAATCTGAAGGACAACGTTTCTCCGGAGGTTATAGCGCAGATCAAGCAAGATGTCACAAAGCACCACATACTTATCTTTAAAGATCAGGGTACGAGCATTGTCTGTACTCCATAATTTTGCAATGTGTTCATCTGTGAATGATGTAATTGGTTAATCAGAAGTAATTAGTTGTGATGTCAAAATTATTGGTTAGTTTTGTTTCAGGTAAGTTGCAATTAATAGTAACACAAAGCCACGATGCTTTTGCATTAATGATGTCTAATTAAGCATAGTTTGAATTGATTGTATTCGTCCTGTTGATTAGGTGTAATAAGTGGGGATAGGCATGTAGAAATCAGCCAGTGGTTTGGAGAGCTAGAAAGCACCTTCTACAAGCATCCAAAGTCTCCGCATCCCGATGTGTTTCGGGTGTCAAACGATAAAACAGAAGGCTGCACGGGAGTTGGGAGGACGGGCTGGCACATCGACGGCAGTTTTCAGCCCGCTCCATTCGCATACGCTCTCTATCACATGGTCTCGGTTCCCCAGAATGGAGGAAACACGGGTAAGCTATACCAGGTCGTTTGCTCCAGTTGCCACAATGCTAACAGTTTACAAGCAATTACACAACTGTAAGATAGCACTAGCTATAATCAACCCTATCAGATCTGATAAATGCTAATGCCTCCCTTGCTGAATCTGTACTTTTACAGAAGAATGTGTATTGCTTGCAATTTTGTTTTCTGGAAAAGTCCAATTCTATTGTCATCAAAAAGTGGTGACGCGTTATTATGTGCCATTCTATAACACGGCATGCATTTCATACATAAAACACATGTATGGGTACACGAAATTTATCCTCTCAGACTCTCAGTGCAGCACAAGATTTTTGCGAATGTTTCACCATTTTTATATAAATACCCGAATATAAGCTGCGAACATAAGTATTTTTACGGTCGTTTGTATCATCCAGCCAAACTGCGGTTTTCAGAGTATGTAGATCTGCATGCATTGGTTAAGAGCCTCGGCAAAGATCAGAGAAGGAGGTGGGATCAATTATGGATGGTCAGCGATAGGCGTTCCACGAGCCCTCGTCCTCTCATCTTCTCTCACCCGATCACAAAACAAAAGGTAAAGCGCAAAGGCTGAGACATCTGCGTCATTCATTGATTCTAGTGTTTGTGAATCTATCTGCTCTGATCGAGAGTCTGGGGAAGGAGAGGAGGAAGCGATGGGAGAGGCTGAGGATGATCAGTGACAGCAGGGATAGTGCCCACCCCATCATCTACTCCCATCCCATCACCAAGTCCAAGGTAACACACGCATTCGCGCGGAGTGCTGTGTCGCACACCGTAGGTCTTAGTAGAATATGCACTGTTGTATCCTAGGCTTAGTAATACAGGTAAGGTAAAAGGTGAGATGTTATTTCGTTTGTTTGTGGTCTCGTGTGATAACGTTTGGCAGTTTAACGTGCCTTACTCTTATCCCCACAAGAATATCAGCTAAATGAATTCCCATCTCTTTGAATTTCAAAATGTTCATGTCATTTTCGTACAGGGTTTGGAATCCTTATAAAGTGCATGCATAAAACTCCTTTTAGTTGGGTGCATGCCAGGTATTTAAAAAATTTCTAGGTGCTTTCTATTTTTACACTGTATTGTCGTAAGGGCAAACATTCAACCTGCAGAGTTCAAAGTGTCAAAAAGAATAGTCCTCCTTTCCGTTGGGCAACTCTGTTGTTTCTGGGAGTGTGATGGTAAAATTCCACGACACTATTGACTGAATGAGCGATATCAGTGAGCAGGGCGCGAAATTAGCACCGGCCCACCGGCATATGCTGGCAAATTATTTGGAGGGCCAGTAACATTGGCAAAACACCGGCTCTCCGAGCTGGTGGTTTCAGCTGTGTTAGCGAGTACCTACATATTTATTTATAGCATTAATGAGCAAATAGCCTACAATACTGTTTTACCTGAAGAATATCATGCCATAATTTATCAACATTTTACAAATTTGAAATCGAGAATGCAAGCGTGAAACATGACGTTGACAAAAACACTTCCGACATCATTCACGATCTGCATTATTGTCTGTTCAACAGCTACTACGCGATGCCGCACACTATAACATTTTTCGGACAAGCAAGAGTCAGTGATCACTGTTTCGAAACAGTCTTATCTTTATATGTGAAGAAAAAAAAATTTGTGAGGGCTGGTAAATTATGGTGAGGGCTGGTAAAAAACGGCTGTTGCCAGCCCTCTGGGTCGGTGCCAAAAAATCTGAATTTCATGCCGTGAGTGAGGTTGCCGAAAATGTGACGTGAATAATGGCGATCAAACGGCTAGAGTGCGTGGGACAAGTTAACGCAATGTTTACAAACTTATCAATGCATATATCCTTGTCACTTATATGGCTGCGTGCAATAGCTAGTTAAACAACGTGGAGGTTGGTAATTCCTGCTTGTCAATAATGTAGAGTCAAGCACTCAGTTTCCAGGCTGTAGTTAACCCCGGCTAGGCCTTGCTTATTGTGCCAGTTTGGCGCATCACATCTTCCCAGATGCTAGCTACCCTGCTGTCAATTAGTATGAGGATATAGTCTGGCTATAGGTTACCAGGGCACCTTGTTTCTGTGAGTTAGTTCCCAGACTTCTCAGTAAAACCCCTGTGTAGCCCTTCAATCCATCACAGGCCTGAAGCAACGAGCTACGTAGGTAGAGCTAGGGCCACAATTAAAAAAATATTTGTTTGCCCTCACCTGACCCAGGCTGAAAGGTTTGGGTAGGTAGGTAGGCTTTTTATTTTTTTTGAGGGGGGTCTTTTTACAAATTCAGCACGGTGTCTACATGCTCGGGTGTGCTGGTGTGGAGATACCTTTTATGTTGAATGTTTGTTTTGCTTGGTACATATAATGTTTTGCCTACAGATTTATATAATGTACAGTGATACAATTTTCTAAAAAAAAAGAATGGGAAAGATCAATAAAATTTTGTGAGTCGGCCCCTTTTTGGCGGGTCAGTCGGGTGAGGGCAAACCCACCCCATTTTTATTATGGCCTAGTGAAAAGAATACTACAGCTCAGTGAAATTTCGGCGACCATAGCGTGGGGTCGGTGTGAGCTACGATGGCAGAACTGATGCGGATTTTGGCTTCCACAGACTCTGTGCTTTCACCTGGGCATGACAGAGGCATTCATATGGGACAAGGGAACGCAGCAGGAGCGATACACCAACCTCAAAGAGACGGGAGAGATACTCGATGAGATATATCGTGAGATTGTGAAAAACGATGGAGAGTTGATCTACTCACACAAGGTACTGTGTACGGCTGCTTCTTAGGTTGATGCCCCCTCTCACGTGCTCTCTCTCCCTCGCTCACGTGCTCTCTCTCTCTTTTGCTCTCTCTCTCGTCTTTAATTCTAGCTCCCTCTATCTCACGACTGGTTCTATCTTTAGGTGTATTGTATTGTATGTGTATAGTTATTGTATTTTTACGTCTATTGTGTGCGATTGATTGTCTTTGTGACTCGTTCTAGATTTTAGCCAGTTTACGTTATGCTGTGCTGTACTTGTACTGTGACTTAAGAACAATAGACATGTGATAGTTCCAGGTAGCCATTATACTTTTTCAAAATAGCAGTCAGGTTACTATGAGCAGATTTTGGTAGAAATACTAGGAAAAATAGCCACTTGAAAATAACATGACAAAATAATGGAACGTTTGGCGATTTGGGGAGGGGTGAATCCGTGCATTTCTCATTGAGATTAGAAAATAAAAAAAAGAATTTGTAGAAATGTAACAATGCAGTATACTCGACGACGGTAATTTTTGATTGGAGAAAGGTGAACAATTTCCGAAGTTGTCATTCAATTCAAAGCGATGCAATGTTTCATCGTTAATCCCGAGCCCTTTGCATTTTAGTGGGAGGTTGGAGATTTTATCATGTCCGACAACTTGTCTGTTGGCCATGAGGCAAGTCCGTCTACACAGCATCATAGGAACAGCATCGGGCTAAGAGTGCTTCATCGCACAACTGTAAAAGGCATTCACTCACCAACCAAGGAGTACGACCCAGATACAGAGGATTAGGTGTAGATCCAGCGTCTATCTATGATGCAGGTCATATGTCATGTCAATGTGATGACATGTCACAGATCAATGTCATGACATATCACAGATCACAGATCAATGTCATGACAGATCACAGATCAATGTCATGACAGATCACAGATCAATGTCATGACAGATCACAGGTCAATGTCATGACACGTCACAGATCAATGTCATGACAGATCAAAGATCAATGTCATGACACATCACAGATCACAGAGTCAATGTTGCGCATAACAGACAATACAGTGTGATTTTTTATGCTTGTGGTCTTGCCAATATTTTGCGATGTTTACCTGCTGTTATGAATTACAGAATGTGATTAAGTTTTACTACATTTTATAACCAACTTGTATCAAGTATAAATTTTATACGATTTGATTATGATTTCCGATGATCATGACCTATATGTAACAAGATTGGGGTTATTTAACTATGTTATACGACATGTGATACTAGTGATATGTAAAGTATATATTAACGCTGTTAAGTTTTAATGTGCTGTCATTTTGTTTAATGACATTTCACAGTAGCAATCTGTAGATAAGATTTCTCAAGACAGTTGATAGATGGTGGAAAATATATTGTAAGCAAGTTAGACATTTAAGCTGTGCAGATATTAGACATGTTTAAGTATAACACTCCTGCTTTGCAAGCATTTCAACTACAATCTGAATAACGTAAATGTGCAGCTGTTCTGTTTTACATGCTCGTGTTGTGATGTGTGTGGCAACTACCTAAAAAAGCTAAAAGTAAAATATACCAGAAATATGATGTTTGTACTTCTACGCTTTAAGCGAACAGTAAAATGTAATGTAAATGTAGTACCAACTATAAAAAATCCGACTATCATTAAAACTCCCGACTAAAACTTTATTTACAAACATTGCCTTTCCATGAATAACGCGGCTGCACTGCGCAACACTTTGCATCAATAACGTATACAAGACTGAAGCTGGCATGCATATAGCAATGGATGACATGTAATGAATGAAGTTGGAAAGCCTGCACAGATATATAACAGACAAACACTGCTTACTCGTGATTTTGTACATATGAGACGAACTCTTTTAAAGTTTAAAATACACATTGCCTGCATTTCACAGACTGGATACCTCACACAACCAACCCCTCTGACATTCACAACTCGGCGTTAGCTGTCAGTTGGGTTAGTGACGTGGTGAAGCGATATTACAGCAAAATTTTAGTACAAATCTTTAGTACTCCTTCAAAAGCCTCCTTCATATCTTTGAGCACGGACACATACTGCACTTTAAAAAATATAGAATAGTTGAATTGCACACCAGAAAAAGGCCTTCAGGTAATCTGTGATGCAGACAATGAACGAACGATTGACACATTAATTGGCAGGTAGCAAGGTGTATGCTACGCTCATTATAACAACCTGCTTTCACGTAGTATCTCGTGAGAGCAGCAATAGTTGTTGAAACCCGGCTTACGAAGAGATGTCCTGAACTACCTCGCACTGAAAAACGACCACTAACCTTTGACCGAACTAGATCCAATTTAGACCAATCAGAGCACAACCTCCTACATCATGCAGTACTGTTATATTTCATCTTCAAAATCTGGTAGAGTCTTTTCGACTAGTCCTTCACCTTTTTTTCTACGGAAGAACGACCAGGGCCCCATCTAACAAGTAGGTGGTGACAGGTGAATGAAGACATTACTTCTTCGATATGGGGGGCAAGGGGCCAGAAAACAAGCAAAGCACGAACGGAAGCATGGGGTTGCGCAAGACAGCCCGCTATTGTCTGTTGCCACTGTGACACGAAACAGCAGCCTATCTTCAGAACACGTGGTGAGGGAGTGTGTCAGGGGGGAGGGGGTGAGGAAAGGGGGAGGGATTGCCCTAACAACAATTGGCGTTATAGACAGCATGTCTTTCTCTCTCTCACTCACTCTCTTCTCTCTGCAAGCCAGCGTCTCTGGCTGTGCAATATACATGGACACACACGTTGCTTTCCGCAGTCGGCCGTGCAGACCAGGAAGGTCGTTGCAAACGCAAGTAATAAGTGTCCGTCTAGAGTTTATCACCATCATCATCATCACCACCATCATCATCATCATCATCATCATCATCATCACTACATACCAAGCACGGCAGGATCATAAACTGGCGGAACTGGCCACCAGGGGACATCACCTACCTGCTGGATTTCTGCACTGGGTCATGCGCAGGCTTAACATAAGCCTGGATATCATCGCCAGTACGACGTCGACTCAGCAAAAATGTACACATCTAAAGCACACGATCGTTCACACAACGCGACCTTGGAATGGAATCGTATCTTCCAAACTGGAATGGAATGCCTGGCGCAACCTGCTTCACAGCACACAACTGCTTTCACTAGCACAGCAAAAAAAGCACTAGAGTCCTGTCTCTCCTCTGAGCAAGACGACCATGTAACCGTATTGGCACAGCGTAACTCATTTTTAGCAAATGCTAGCCAGTGTATCATCACGAACATGCGCATGCTACACACACGTGCGGAATTGGTTACGGCAACCAAGGAGCTAAATATATTTATATATAAATATATTTTATATTTAGCTCCTTGACGGCAACGATGCCATGTCAGAGCTTTCAAAGAGTGCCACTAGATGGCTGCAATAAGTGGCATGAATATCTGATGATTGGTTTCAATGTTCCAAAAGTTGGGACTGCATATTATAGTTACAACTTCCATTGGTTAAATATGTGAGATTTCTATGTTATTGAGCAGCGAGGTGCATTTAGAATAGATATAGTAACATCGAATTTGGACAAGGTTGTCATAACACTGTAGCAGAGATAAACAATGATTTTACTACAAGCAGGAGGTGATGTTCTGGGGATCACTGAGCGACAGTAGATCCAGGATAACAACACTAACTGCTGCTAAAAAATTCTGAAATGACATCACTGACGCAACCAACGCCGCACTTGCGCTGAGAGGGCCTATGTCCCCCAGGGTACTGCCGGAACGTACCCTGGTACTATCTAATATGCCGGACCATACCTCGTCTACTCCACTAACGAGGGAGTTGCCTACGCCTACTCCCTAACCCTAACCCTAACCATATCAGATAGTTACCAGGGTACGTTCCGGTATACCGGACCGTACCCAAGGTACGTTCCGGCAGTACCCTGGGGGACATAGACCCTATGAGCCGCACCACATACATGTTCATACTCTACATTGTGCTCACGGTCTCATCTAACCAGAGGAAGCTCACAGGCTGTGGATTCTCAAGAAAATATATGAATAGACCCATCTCTACAGGTCACACCTCGAACGACAGTGCCAATGTACCTCAAAACTGCACACTACAATTGCAGTAGAAAGTCCGAACAGTTCACAACATCCTTAGAAGAAGATATCACTCGCTCCGTGGATGAACACCAAACAGTAACAGTTACTTTCTATATAATTATATATATCCGAGGCGGGGACAAAACGCGGGAAAATTAATGCGCTATTGAGCATTAATAGCTGTCACGGTTCACTGACTCACAAACCTTCACACGTACACACGCGCACGCGCACGCACACGCACACACACACGCACGCACGCACTCGCTCGCTACATACACACACTCGCACCCGCGCGATGACGCACCATGGCAAGATGCACGGCAAAGTCTGAGACGTACAAACTGTTTCTACGCGGTCACACCTCGTCCGGTCACCGCGCTGCTGTCACGTCGGTCTGAGCAGACGCGGTTGACACCGATAGTCTCACTGGTTGACACAACGCGAAAAATCTACGTACACATCCTTGTTCAAGATTCGGTACATCGCGAAACAACACACTTTTCACAATCGTGACGATAGTAACTTTAAACATTTTTGGCCCGCAAACAGATGTGACGTAAACATTCGAATTGTGTGAATGGGTGTTATAGCTGAGAAGTCATATCTCGAGCGAGTTAAACACAAGTAAATAACGAAAATTTCCACTTTGGCCCTACAACGTTGAGATTTTCCATACGAATGACCAATGCAATGACACCCTATAATTATATGTTGGTATTGAGTGGGCACGGCTGAAACCCTAAAGTAGCACGATCTGTTAGTAGAATGGCGATCGTAACATAGAACTGTTGGTAATTCACCACGCAATGTATGTAACACTGCAAACAACGTTCACCGCCCGAAAACACTCACCAACGAGCATTCTCGATTTTTCCCATCAGTAAACTAACTACAGGACAGAGCTTGCATTTCAAAGTTGCGTCAAAAGATTATTACCAGTCGCTTCCGCGCATCGGAAATGGCCCATCCGTGGAGAAAATAGGCAGCAGAAACTTCCCCTGCCTGTGCGTCACGGCACGCATGTACAATTCCAAGTACATTACACAACTTTGTAGACTCTAGCGGGAACGATTTGAGCAAATATACAAACGTCATGATTTTCTGATCGATACACGCTAAGACAAACAAAAATGTGAACACGCACCAGCCGCATCTGCCACGGATCTTCATTTCAGATCCGCTGGAAGCAAAGGTGATGCACCCGATACAGCCGTGAGACCAATAAATAGTGATCATGCCAACAGAAATATACATAAAAACCGTCTTAATAAATTACACACACGATGGTTGAGGTTTAATTAAGGTATGACAACTTGCGACCTACGACGAAAAAGTGGGCCAGAATTTAAATTAATACACACACACGCATGCACGCACGCACAACACACGCACGCATGCACGCACGCACAACACACGCACTCACGCACGCACAACACACACACTCACGCACGCACAACACACACACA